ATTTGTTTACAGACCTGGAGGCCAGAAGTTAGAGATCAAGGTGTGGGCAGGGCGGGCTCCTTCTGAAGACTGTGACAGCATCAGCTCCAAGCCTCTCTCTCAGCCGCCTGCGGTCCCAGGGGTCCTTGTCTTGTAAACGGCTGCTATTTCCCTGCCTGTCTCCATCACCATCTTTCTATGTATGTCTGTGTCCAGATTTCCCCTTTCGATGAGGATAGATCCTACCCCATGACCATAACTTAGTTTGCTCATCTGCAAAGATCCTATTTCCAAAATAAGGTCCCATTCCCAAGTTTGGGAGGTTAGGATTTCAACATGATTTGGGGGACACAATTCAACCGGTAACACCATCCAAGTGCACAAGCTTGTGCCTAGAATGTCAGGGATCACGAACATATTGTGGTTTATCTAGACACCCCAAGGCGGGATTCTATTTTATTCTGTACTGTTCATTTTTGAGTGAATAATAAGAAAGAAGTGACAGGGTAACCGAGGCCTGAAGAGGGAGGTCCACGCTCTCACAGCACCCATGGCAACATGCAAGGACTGGAACCAGGACTCTTAGGCTTTCACAGAGCATCTCACCAGAATTCCAGCCTTTGCTGAGCCCAGTTCTCTGGCACTCACAGAAGCCGAGCCTTTGAATGAGACAAGCTCATAAAGGATTGGCGGTCCAACTTCAAGGGAGGCAGAGAGAAGCTGGCAGGAGCTGGGAGTGCCTGCCGGGGGATGCTCCTTCCCTGGCAGGTAAAGGAAGCCAGAACAGTGGGAGTCAGGGGCAGGAAGGTGTCAGGGCCTGGGGAAGCCAGAGCTTGTGCAAATCAATATGGATCCCAGGAGGCATGGGAGAGGAAGCTCGCTCTCACGGCAAACTCTTCAGGGTGACAAGGTGGTAGATTCCGGCTTCAGTTCGCATTGGCCAAGACCCCCGGACATTTAAAGGAGCAGCCAGGAGAGGGCGAGGAACCCTTCTCTCTGCTGTCTGTGCCAGCTGCCCATCCATAGGAAGCCAACATGTCAGCCCTCCTGCCCACCGACGCCAGCCCAGAGGTGCCAAGACACCAAGTGCAGTGAAGCCAGCTGGCAGCGTAACGGAGAGCCAACGGCCCGGCCGGCTGGCCCATCTGCTCCTCACTGCCAGCTGCATGCCTGTGGGAGGCAGGCCGGCAGCCCATCCGAGTGGCCGAGGTGCCAGCCACCGGGCGCTCCGGGCCAGCTGGCAGGCTGGCAGGACTGGCCAGCATACCCATCTGCCCACCGGCACCAGATGAACGTGCAGGGGAACCGTGCCCGGGGACCTCAGGGTGCCAGCCTGCCTCAAGTTCCAAGGCATCGGAGGCCCCAGTTCTCCTCCTCCCTCTCTCTCAACCCTCGAGAGCCCTGAGATGCTACTAACAAAGACCCAGACGAAGGCATGGGGAATCCCAGGGTGGGGAAAGGAAGGGTTAAGGAGGCAGGACCCCAGGACGGTGAATTTACAGGCCACCAGGAGCACAGGTGATTAAGAGCACAGACTCTAGGGCCAGATTGCCCGGGTCCATATTCCAACTCTGACACTAAGTAGCTGCATGACTTAGGGCAGGCCTCTTAATTGCTTGAAGCCTCAGTTTTCTTGTATATAAAATGGGAAGGTGGCATGTGCTTTGTTGGACTAAATTGAGGAAGAAATAGAATGTGGTAAACACTCTGGAAGGCCAAGGTGGACAGGTCAGCTAGGGTTAGGAGTTTGAGACCAGCCTGACCAACATGGAGAAACACCGTCTCTACTAAAAATACAAAATTAGCCAGGCATGGTGGTGGGCATGTGTAATCTCAGCTACTTGGGAGGCTGAGGCAGGAGAATTGATTGAACCCGGGAGGTGGAGGTTGTGAAGAGCTGAGATTGCATCATTACACTCCAGCCTGGGCAACAGAGCACAACTCTGTCTCAAAAAAAAAAAAAAAAAAAAAAAAGAATGTGGTAAACACTCAACACATGTTACTTATTATCAATCACTTTATTAGAATCAGATTCAAGGAGTGCTTTAAGCTCAAGCGTGACTCAGACATCACCGGGTCCAATTTCATCATTTTAAAGTGGGGGAATTAAGGCCCAGAGAAGAAAAGGGCCATATTAAAGGTCACAATCACACAAGGAGTCATTTGGGGTGCAGAGGCTAGATTCCAGGTCTCCCGTCACTCTCTTCAGTCCGTTGCCATGGAATGCTCCCCTGAAATACAAGAGGTGATGGAGAAGTAGGGAGGAAGCTTCCTGTCCTGCCCTGATGCATCTGAATGCCTCAGGCGCACAGCTGCTGCGATCCATGGGTAGCCCTCAGAATGCACTGCCTGATACGTGAGTGTGGGTGTTTCTTTCTGAGTGTTGACATCTATTCTTGCATATCTACTGTGTGAGCGTAAATGTTTGGTACTGCCCGACAGATCCAAATCTCAAGTGCAGAGACTATGTTTTATTGGGAACATTACCCCTACCCACAAGTCACCCCTCTGGAATCCTCAGCTATCATATCCAAAAAGCCCTGACATTCTTGAGCCCCTATGCTTAGCACAATGCCTGGAATGTCGCTGGAGCTTTATAAACCTGTGTTAAATGAATGCATGAATAAATGCTTGAAAGAACCTGGTGCAGCTCCTTTGACTGGATGAAGCACGACATTTACTGTCCACCCAGCAACCAATGAGAGTGAAGATCCTGTTAGGATGCGATCTCTCTTAGAGCCTAGCTACCCTTGGTTTGCACGCAGTACTAACAAAGGCGGTTAGCTGGCCTTCCCGTCTACAAATTGAATTCAACAAATAGAAAGGGAGAAGGAGGGGCCAGGCGCGGTGGCTCACGCCTGTAATCCCAGCACTTTGGGAGGCCGAGGCGGGTGGATCACGAGGTCAGGAGATCGAGATCGTCCTGGTTGACATGGTGAAGCCCCGTTTCTACTAAAATAAAAAAATCAGCTGGGCATGGTGGCGCATGCCTGTAGTCCCAGCTACCTGGGAGGCTGAGGCAGGAGAATTGCTTGAACCCAGGAGGCGGAGGTTGCGGTGAGCCAAGATCGCGCCACTGCACTCCAGCCTGGTGCCTGGAGACAAAGCTAGACTCTGTCTTGGGGAAAAAAAAAAAAAGGAAGAAGGAAAAGCTTCAGGTAATAAAGGCCAATGAAGGTGGCTGCTGGTGTCTTTGCGAGCATCAGAAATAGGTAGGATTATTTGCAAATAGCCTCACTAATGGGAAAACCTGAGTGGTCTAGGCCATTCTGTGAAGGGGCAAAAGGGTGCATCTTACAGAGCCTTTCATCTCTCACTGGAAAATAAATGATGCTCATAATGATAGATTTGAGAGTTAGTTCAAGGGCCCCTGTCCAAACTATCAGAGAGCATAGTGCATTTTGCAGAGATTTTCATCCTAAACATAATTGTTAAGATGGTAATTAGAGGCGATCCTCCATCAACCCGAAAGCTTGGCTCTCTCACATGACTGAGTCAGGGAGGTTATATGCTGCAGGATCCACTGCTCTTGGTGTGACTGTAGATGACAATCAGAGAACTGAAGGGAAGCAAAGGGAAGCGGCAGGTGAAGAGCGGGATCAATCAGGATTGCTTTGCATTCTGGACATGAATGTGATCTCCCCTTAGCTACATATGTGTAGGATGGGCAGTTTTCAAAATGATTTCGCATCCATTATGCATCACCTCATTTATTGAGATTCTTGTCTACCAAAGAGGAAACACAAGCACATATGCACACACACAGATGTGCGCACATACGTGAAGACATGCACCCATGCACAAGTACGTGCAGACCCTGACACACAGAGTAAGCCCCATCCTAAAATACCCAAGAAGCAATAAATGAAAAAAACTCTCTTCACAGAAAAGTACTCAATGCACACACTCAAACATGCATGTACAAACACACACAGACATGCAGAGAGATACACGCAGGCTCACACAATTACATGCAATTACACATGATTACACACAATGACACACAATTACATACAATGACACACAATTACATGCAAAGATGCACACATGCACACGGGCATGTACATAAACACACAGGTGTGTACACATATCACCTCAGAACAGTGAGCCTGAAAGATTTTTTTCACTGTCTTGGATTGGTGAAAATTTTTTTGAGACCGAGTTTTGCTCTTGTTGCCCAGGCTGGAGTGCAGAGTGCAATGGCATAATCTTGGCTCACTGCAACTTCTGCCTCCTGGGTTCAAGCGATTCTCCTGCCTCAGCCTCCTGAGTAACTGAAATTACCATGCTGGCTAATTTTTTGTGTTTTTAGTACAGACAGGTTTTACCATGTTGGTCAGACTGGTCTCAAATTCCTGGTATCAGGTGATCCACCCACCTCTGCCTCCCAAAGTGTTGGGACAACAGGTGTGAGCCGCTGCTCCTGGTCCAGGATCATGACTATGAGGAGAGGAGGATGATGATACTGTAACTGCTGCCATTCTGAGGGGGACCTCATATGTTTGAGATCTTGTGTCCACTTACCACCCTCTACATATTTTTCTTCACCCCCTACTCTTCCTTTTTTCTTTCTCCACTTTTTTATTTTTTCCTCTTTCACAAACAGTTCCACGAGTACTTTCTCATTGCAAAACATCGGCATTATACTGACAAAACAAACCTTCCACCTCTATATTTTCCACCTTCATAACCACTCAATTTCTGAGCAATAACGGCTGTGATCAATTTCAAGTGGAACCTGCATCCCCCAATATGACATGCATTTCTGTAGTACATACGGAAAAGCCTCGAGTGTCCATCAACAGGATACAGGCTATACACACTCCGAAATGCCCGTACAATAGCTAAAAATAACCAAAGACAATTTTTGGAATAATATTAGTCAGCATCTACCGAGCCCTAAATGGGAGTTGGCACTCTCCCTGCAGTCCATCATTTAATCTTTTCAAAGACACCTGCCCACGATTAATATTTCCATTTAACAGATGTGAACACCAAGGAGAGGTGGGATTGGGACATTAGGACATTTGTCATGCTCGGACATTAAAATTGGAATGATCCAGAGAAGATTAGCATGGTCCCTGTGCAAGGATGACATGCAAATTTTTGAAGGTTGTTAGGATGTCTGTCCAGCCAGCGTGTTGCAGACCTGAGATTCAGACCACATGATCTGTCTCTAAAGCCTGCATGCTTAAGACTCACATTAAGATGACCAAGAAGCAATCAGTGAAAAAAAAAAATCCCTTTGCAGAAAAAGGCGTATAGTACGATCCCATTCATATAGAAACTGAACACATATAGGTGGGTGCATACATGAATGTATGGCTTTTTATAACTCTTGTGACATCCCGCAGTATGGTTTTGACAAATGGCTGGTGCAGCACAGAGGTGAACAGACTTTCTGAGGCCATGGAGCTGGGTTCAAGTTCACCTCCCTCCGACTACACAGCTTGTGCTGTATTCACAATACTTTCCTTCCTATGATAACAGTGAACTGTGCTTGGGGGTGGGTGAATTGGGAGAGGATTGTTTTGTAAAGAGTTTGCCCTCAAAAGCATCTTTCGGGGAGAATATCTGTCCCTCACTGTGTCGTGCCTCTAGAAGGGCATGTGTAGCCCCATGAGGTTAAAGAAGAAAAAACTCTGGGCTGCAAAAAGTGTAAGACCATCCCAGAGGGAGGACCCCTCCAGTGCTGATGATTGAAAGATGCCTCCAATGCCCCCATATGGAGAGACATCGTTTACCAGCTTCTTGGTTCGGCACTGCAAAGTCTCTTAAAAAATCTTAGCAAGTTTCAAATGCACCGTGAGGCTGAGGACAGTTCTTCAGCTGGAGCCCTGGAGACCTGGGTCGCAATCCTATCTCTGCCCCTTGCTTACTGTCTGTCCTTTTCCTACTCTGTTTTCCAACTCTGCCTCTGCTCGCTGGGGCAGGGGTTTGGATTTGGGGAGTGGACTTGGAGAGCCAGTGGAAAAAACACCAGGGTTAACCTTCAAAACTCAGCCTCGTGTCTTACAAAATTCATGACTCGAAGCAACACACTTGATATCCTGGAGCGTCACTTTCCTCATCCACGAACTAGAAATGATTATTCAATGCCTATCTGTCTCATGGGCAGTTGCTATTTATGAGTTCTTGGTGATGTTCTAGGCAGAGACTACTGTAAGTGCAAAGACCCTGTGGCATCATGCTTGATGCCCTCTGACTGCCATCTCAGAGGGGAAGGCGCCAGCTGCGGGCCGCCTCACATTGATCGCGCCATCTATGAGGGTCAAGAGGACCAGCGTGGTCAAGTAACTGGCTTGAGGTTGCGGAGCTCTCCAATGACAAAGCAAGGGCTGGAACCAGACAGGACTAGAGTGAGACATGTGTTGGGCACAAAACTTCAGGGGCGCCAAAAAGTTCAGCAGTCAAGATAGATAGCGTGTTAATAAAACATTATCTTAAAAATGAAAGTTAATGCAAATAAATTCCTGATGAGCAGAAGATCAACATTTTAAACTGTTACAGGATGAGTATCACTGATTTCTCCTTTTGCCTCAGCCTCCAAAATGGTTCTTCATAAAACTTTATTTAGAATGTTTAGACTTTATCATAAACTTTTTCCATTAAATTTGGTTTTTTAAAAGACTGCATGAAAATGTTTATTTTGGCTGCTGAGGTTTTTGGTGCCCCTCAAGTTTCATGCCATCCATACCCTGGTCTGGGCCCTACAGGTCTGTCAACCAGGATGCCTTGTTCCTTCCCTGCATCTCCTCTCTCATTCATTCATTCATTCATTCATTCGTTCACTTATTTGGTCATTCAGCAACTATTTTGGGAAGTCAGTGATTCCAGGAACTGGGAAAACATCAGTGTCTTAGTCTCACACTGCTAATAAAGACATATCCAAGACAGGGTAATTTTTAAGGGAAGGAGGTTTAATTGACTCTCAGTGCTTTCCACATGTCTGGGGAGACCTCACAATCACAGTGGAAGGCGAAGGAGAAGCAAAGTCACATCTTACATGGGAGGATGCAAGAGAGCTTGTGCAGGGGAACTCCCATTTATAAAACCACCAGATCTCATGAGACTTAGTCATTAACATGAAAACAGTATGGGGGAAGTCACCCCCACAATTCAATTGTCTACCCTTGGGCTCTGCCCTTGACACATGGAGATTACTACAATGCAAGGTGAGATTTGGGTGGAGACACAGCCAAACCCCATCAGTCAGTGAATAGGATAGTCATCGTGTCTGCTCTCCTGAAACTCACAGTCTAGTCGGGGAGACAGATATGACTCAAATAATCACATAAACCACTGTAAAAGTAAAAATGTGGAAATAGAACAAAGGAGCAGTTATGGGGGTGTTGACCAAGAATGGCAGTTATGAGGGCGTTGACCAAGAATGGCAGTAGGGGAAAGCTTCCCTGAAGAGGTGGTGTTTGAGTGAAAAGGAATTAACCAGCTGGGGGTGGATTGAAGGTATGTGGCTGAGGACGTTCCAGGCAGAGGAACATTCTTGTCCTTGTTCTGTGCCAGGATCGAGATGATGGAGAGTTCTAGAAACACAAAAGAAGCCAGTGCAGCTGGCATGCTGAGAGCCAGGAAGAGTGGGATACAAGGCAGGGATGGAGAAGCGCACGGTGCCTGCAGACCCAGTGGGGAAGGATTGGATCTCTGGCCCAAGGACAGTAAGGAGCCGCGGGAGGGTTTTGAGCTAATGAGTGATGTGATCAGGTTTGCTCTTTGGAGTGATGCCCTTGGCTGCTGGGTAGAGGTAGGCTGGCCCTGTGGATGGATCCCCCACTCCCTCGGTTTCTAGTCCAGCTTCCTCCTTGCTTGTGGTGTGACGGTGGGCAAGTGACTCAGCACTTGCTGTCTCTGTGAAGCACCTGCATCTGAAAAGCACTTGCTTTCCAGTTCACTCATCTGTAAAATGGGTTACTGGCCTCTTGAAGTTGTTTAGAAGATTAAATGAGGTATGCATGGCGTGGGTCTCCTAGAATAAGCCTGGCATAGAGTACACATTCTATAAATGTTGTCACGATTATTATTACAGGTGACAGGTTTGGGGGCAAAATAGAAGACAGGGAGAGCTCAACTCCTGCCCTCAGCCCCTGGGGTGGCTCAGTCCATCTTCTCTGCCTGGAGCTCGTGGCTCCCCTCATTAGAAAGTGGCTGTTCTTTCGGCTGCGTGCTCTCTGGAGGAGAGGGCATGGTGGAGGCTGCAGGAACGCTGTGAAGGTCTTAAAAGAAATTATAGCCTGCATAAAAATATTCACTCCAGTGGAAGGCCTTAAACCATTCCCTTGGGCATTGAACAGTGACGGAGAGTATATTACTGTGCACTTAAGGCAACTGCAGCCACCCAAGGTCAGAGAGAACGGAAGGGAAGCACTTACGCATGGAAGGGCCCCTAAATAGGAGCATCCTTCCCGGAGCTGTCCCTCTCCCCCACCTGCCAAACGTCTCATCAGTCCCCTCTTTATCGACAACCCCAAGAAAAAGAACAGTCACTGAGATTCCTTAGGGAGGTAGGGGAAGGAGAGAGGAAAGAGAACGGGCCCGGGTCCAGAACAACAGAGTGTCCCAATTTCAGGGTGCGGTGGCTCATGCCTATAATCCCGGCACTTTGAGGGGCTGAGTTGGGCAGATCACCTGGGGCCAAGAGTTCCAGACCAGCCTGGCCAACATGGCGAAACGGCATCTCTCCTAAAAATATGAACATTAATGGGGCATGGTGGTGCACATCTGTAATCCCAGCTCCTTGGGAGGCTGAGGCAGGAGGATTGCTTGAGCTTGGGAGGTGGAGGCTGCAGTGAGCTGACATTGCACCACTGAACTCCAGCCTGGGTGGCAGAGTGAGACTCCATCTCAAAAACAAACAAACAAACAAACAAAAGAGTATCCCAGTCTTAGCCGTGACGTAGGAAGAGTTACTTAAGACTTCAGACCTCAGAAGCATCATCTGTAAAATCAGAGCCAAGCCACCTGCTTAGCTGTAATTTCAGCTAGAACTGAATGAAGAACTCCAGCCTTCATACCACAAAGAAAGGGCTAGAAAATGATTCTTTCTCCTTGTTGCTTTGATCTTTCTTTCCAAGACATTCTTTTTTCTCTCTCAAACTCTAGGTGACTTGACTTCTTGGCAAGTTTCGTAAGCTCTGCAAGCCTGTTTGCTCATCTTAAAAGCGGGGATAGTAACCATAAGGGCTGACTGGTGGAGCATGGGGATTAATGAGTCTCAAAGTGACGAGAGCAGGGAGACTGCTTCTCACCTGTCTTGATGGGTTTTGTGTTTTCATGGTACGAAGACGGTAGCAGGTAGCAGCCTTCGTCACCCGTTTCTCCTATGCAGTACTTTCTGCTCACGGTCTCAGCAGTGTGGAATCATAGGTAATCACAGGTAATCCATGGATCTTAGTAGGTCCGTGAATCAGTCCTCCGCAGACATACACACAAATTCATCGTGTCTTTAGATGAGGCAAGGGACAGGTCCCCGGCATCCCAAAGAACTAAGGGGCATAGTGTCACAGGGAAAGGTGCTCTGGGCCAGGACTCAGAATCCACACATGGGCTTTCACTGGCCCGGGGACAAACTCTTTAGCTAGCTTTCCTGGTCTCATGTTTGTCACTGAGAAACAATGGGGTAAGCAAGGGGAAAGAATGGGATACGCATCATGGGGTTATTGTGAGAGTCAAGCAGGATAATGCCTCTGAAACCCTTAGCACATAGAAGGAACACGAAATCTATTAGCTTGTTTTCCTCCTTCCTCCGGACAAAGCTACATTTTCAGCAGTGTGCCTCACACTCTTACTTGCTCTCTGACCAGTATAAAAATTAAAAGATATATATGTATACACACACACACACACACACACACACACACACACACACATACATTCATCAAGAGAGACTAAATAAAAAAGAAAAACTAGGTTCACGACTGGTAGAAAGACCCATCACTACCAAGGAATATTTTTTGCTGAATGTGGGGACAAAAAAGCAGCATTCTGTGGATCCATAGTTTAGGTAAGCCTTGCGCTGATGAAAGCAAACGGGTGTCTTTCTCACCGGGTAGGTTGGACCCTTAGAATGAGATGTACACTGGGAAGCAACCAGAAGAACTTAGATGTTCAG